CAGGTCACCTGCCGCTAATTTATGGCCTACCGCGGGGGGCCCGGACTAACTAAAAGATCGCTGAGACGGAATTTCGGACGCCGTGCGATAGACAGTATTCAGAAAGTGGATAAATGCCAGTAACAAGACCCAGATCTGCTGTTGTCAATGCAATAGGTACGTGCCTTACAAATAAAAGACATCAAGACATTAAAAGATCAACAAAACAGTTGCAAAGTTACAAAGAAACATTAAGAAATTAGATATCCACCTACAGAATTTTCATCATTATAATTCAAAATTATTTGTAACCCCCCCCCCTCCCCTAAAAAACCCCCAAAAACGGGGATCTGCAGTGATCATGCAGATCTGGGTCTTGTTACTGGCATTTATCCACTTTTTCTTTTACCTTTTCTTCCCAGTCATGAGCAAAACGTTCATCTCACCTCCCCACCCAATCTTACACATTTCTTACAGAAGCCAAAGACACCCTTTCCCCTCTGAGGTGTAAGTTTATATTTTGAGCGGCCCCTATAGGCCTAGATCTAATACATTGAGGCATGTCGCGTACATGAGAGGCGGAGTAGGGTTGCTTTTCGAGGATCGCCGTAAAAATAGCCTGGGACTCACTGGGAGGCTATCTTTACGGCTCGCCGTAAAAATAGCCTCTGCGTAAATTAATTTTTGTGAGTTTTGTTTACTTGGTTTTTTTGTTCACTATTTGAATTTGGCGTGCACTAGGCCTTGATACATGTAGATTCAAGACTGTGTCTTCAAGGTGGATGAATCGAGGTTGCATGTGCCTGTGCTCTGTTGCTTCGTATTAGAAAAAAGAGAAAGAGAAAACAGTATTATGTCGTACTGTCCCACCGATGTTGTAGCAATTCACAACTGCTCGAGACTCAATGCAACATGTCACGTCCCAATAATAGGTGGGGTACATTACACTCAAGTTCAAAGGTTTCAAATGTCAGATGGGTCTGTCCCGGGACGAACTTTCGTAGGCCTAGTGAAGTAGGGACAAGATACTGCCAGTCAGTCACTATATCAATTGTTTCACACAACCCCCCACCCCACCCCACCTTCCTCTTCCTCTTCCCCGCTATGAGTGAATGCTAAACTAGGCCTAGGCCTACTTGTCGTGTCTACCGTGTAGCCCAGTACGAAACCACGTTGCACATAGGCTACTGCTACTTTAAATGTGGTTACCCCATCCCCGCCCATCCCAAATTAAATCTTTCACTTCCCTTTTCTCTTTCTTTTGTCTTGAACATTGAACCCTTGCTTTTGAATTTCACTGCACTTTCATCTTCACTGTACACGTATTCTTTTGTAATCATATTGTGTGTTTTGAGTTGACATCATCGTGTCTGGACGTCGATCTTTAGCTTCAGACTTTTTTTTATAAGCTGGAAAACACAGTACTGTTGTTTGTATGATTTGTAATAATGTTTTGGAATACAATAACACAACGTCGACAATAACAAAACATTTGTCATCAAAGCATTCTTTGACGTATCAGGAAGCAAAGGGTGCAAGAGAGAAGGAACCTGTGCCCCACGCATTGGCAAGAGTGATAGAAGGGAGGCAACACACACACACACACACTCACACACCCAAACACACACACTCGCAAACACACACGCAAACACACACGACACACACACACACACACACAAATGCGTGAAAGCCAACTTTTCTTGGCACGCGCGCAGGCTTAGCTAGCCACTTCTGTCAAACTTGAGAATCGAGGTCTCGATCTTAAGAGCTATTTTTAGCAGTGTTCAAGACTCGAGGTCTCGATCTTAAGAGCTATTTTTAGCAGTGTTCAAGACTTCAGGCAATGATTATAAGTATTTACGGTCTCTGACTCGAGGTCTCGATCTTAAGAGCTATTTTTAGCAGTGGCCTCTAAACAGCCCACTTGAAGCAGCTTCCAAACTCGAAAAGCGGACTCGATTCCTCGATCCTTTTTCAGTTTTGGGATCGAGGCCTCGAGTCTTTTTGCCGTCGATCTTGCCCTGGCCTAGTCTAGGCCTCTTCTTTATTGTCACTCGTTATGGAAGTCCTTCCGCTTCGTTTATCGGGAGCTTCCTCTGCCGGTTTAATAAAATAAAAGTCAGGTTTTAGTCTGTGACGTAGATCTAGATCTAGATTATATTTTATATTTTGGCCAGCTTCAAGTGTTTCATCCCATGAGATGAAGGAAAACGAAGCGCCCTTACAGAATTAAAGTCGGGATATGGGATATAATGGAAAAGGGAGTGTATACAGACCCAGTAACCGGGAACAAAGTCACAAAGTACAAAGTATACAGACCCGGTAGGGGAACTCTTTTGTGATTTCGGAAAGTTTCAGCGCCCTCTTGGCTCAGGGTAGACACCTAGGTTCTTCTAGATCTAGATCTATCGCCTAGATCTAGATCTAGACAGACATAAAACATTGATCTAGTTTCGAGGTTAGCCTTGCTAGATCTAGTCTAAATCTAGATCTAAATGAAGATT